GTAGCAAATTTTCCTGTCCTGGTGAAGGTTCTTGAGTGGGTGATTGCCACAAACCCCAGGTGCTCTTGAATGAGACTAATTATTGGGATCCATTTTATGGGTGTGTGTATGTGTGTGTGGGGCAGGGGGTTAGTTGTATTTCATTATTTAACATTATCAATATTATTGTATTAAGCAATTTTGATTTTGTATTGCTCTGGTGATAATATTGTATTTGAATTTGTATTTGCTATGAGTACAATATTGTATTTATATTGATTTTGTATTTTTGCTATTCTAATTTTTGATTATAGTATTGTATTTTATATCTTGTCTTGCTGTAAGTTGCCCAGAGAGTCTTATGAGCTATGGGGTGGCATAGGAATGTAATAAATCAAATCAAATTGGGGTTTTAGATCAGGTTTTGGAACAGAAATAGCTTTGATGTTGAAAGAGAGATTGGTGAGTGTGACCCTGTTAATGGATATGGCTTTTGATACCAGCAAACATGGTATCCTGGGGAGACTGAATTGGGAGTAGCGGGGTTGTGTGGCAGTTGTTTCGCTCCTATTTGAAGGGTCAACTCTAGAAGGTGGTGCTTAGGAAATACTGTTCAACTCCACAGATTCTCCAGCTTGGAATTCCTCAGGGATTTGGTCTATTCCCCATGACATTTAACATCCACATGAAAACGCTGAGTGGGATTATCCAGACAATAATCTGCTGGAGTAGTATCACTATGTTGATGGCATGCTTGTTCTATTTCTCCTTTTCCTCTTCAGCAGGGGAGGTGATGGATGTACTAAACCAGTGCCTCGTATGACAACAGAAGGCTAACAAACTGAGGCTCAATACAGACAAGAGTGTTGTTTCAATCTTGTAGAATCACGATGCTGTTAGGGGGTGGTTCTTCTGACCAGATGGAGGGTGTTCAACCTGTTCTGGATGGTGTTGTGCTACTCTTGAAGAAGCAGTTCGTAGTTTGGGGGTTTTCCTGGATCTTTCATCACTTGAGGCTCAGGTAGCAGTGCAGAAAAAACTACTCAAGGAAGACTTATTCAAAATCGCATTGTTTTCAAAGGAACTTTAGCCCAATGCTAGGGTTAGGGGTGTGCACCAGGGTACGGTTAGGGTTAGAAAAACGAGGTGTCCTACCATGATTTTGATGGTTGGAATGTGTTTAGAATGGACAGAAAAGTTGAGCACTGCAGAAAAATCTACTGAAGAATGGCTTTTTAAAAATTGCATTGTTTCCAATGGAACTTAAGCCCTGTGGTAGGGTTAGGGTTGTGAACCAGGGTATGGTTAGGGTTAGAAAAATGAGGTGTCCTGGCATGATTTTGATCATTGGAATGTGATTAGAATGGGCAGAAATGATGAGCAATGCAAAAAAAGGTACTCAAGGAAAGTTTTTTCAGAATCACATTGTTTTCAATGCAAATTTAGCCCTATCTTTGGGTTGGGGTGAGCACCAGGGTAGGGTATGGGTTGGAGAAACGAGGTGTCCTGGCATGATTCTGATGGTTGGAATGTGTTTCGAATGGGCAGAAAAGATGAGCTTTGCAGAAAAAGCTGCTCAAAGAAGGCTCTTTCAAAATCGCCCTCTTTTCAATGGAACTTTAGCTCCGTCCTAGGGTTCAAGGTGTGCAGCAGGGAAGGGTTAGGGTTAGAAAAACGGGTTGTCCAGGCTTGGTTCTGATGGTTCTGATGTGTTTAGATTCTGATGTGTTTAGAATGGGCCAAAATGATGACCTGTGCAGAAAAAGCTACTCAAGGAAAGCTTTTTCAAAATCGCCCTCTCTTCAATGGAACTTTAACCCTATGCCTGGGTTAGGGGTGTGCACCAGGGTAGGTTTAGGGTTAGAGAAACGAGGTGTCCTGGCATGATTTTGATGGTTGGAATGTGTATAGAATGGGCCAAAATGATAAGCTGTGCAGAAAAAGCTACTCAAGGAAGGCTTTTTCAAAATCACATTTTTTTCAATGGATTTCAGCCCTATATTAGTGCTGGGGGTGTACACCAGGATAGGATTAGGATCAGAAAATCAAGGGGTCGTGGCATGATTTTGGTGGCTGGAACGTGTTTAGAATGGGCAGAAATGATGACCTGTGCAGAAAATCTACTCAAGGGAGGCTTTTCAAAATCACCCTCTTTTCGTTGGAATGTTTTGTTTTTAAATGTTTGTATTTTGGAAGATTTTAAGCTATTTTGGGGACTGCAGGTGGCGCAGTGGTTTAAACTGCTGTGCTGCTGGGCTGGTTGATCAAAAGCTTGCTGGTTCGAATCTGCACAACGGAGTGAGTTCCCGTTGCTCCGTCCCAGCTCCTGCCAACCTTGCAGTTCGAAAGCATGCAAATGCAAGTAGATAAAAAGGTACCACTTCGGTGGGCAGATAACAGAGTTCCGTGCACTGTGGTGTTTAGTCAAGCCGGCCACATGACCACTGAGACTGTCTGCGGACAAACGCTGGCTCCCTCGGCTAGAAAATGGAGATGAGCACCGCCCCCTAGTGTCAGGCACGACTGGACGTAATGTCAAGGGGAAACCTTTACCTTTACCTTTTTAAGCTATTTTATTATATTGTTTTTACAACTAGTGTAACCACAAAGAGAGTGGGTGGTACAATCTGTAGCTAATTGGATTCTTTTGCCTAGCCTGGCAGTTAGCCTACCCATGTGTTAGACTGCTTGCCAAACGTGCTAAACAGGTTGCTAAGGAAAGCCCTGAAAGGAAGGGGATATCCTGCTCTATATACCAAAGCCGATGGGTAGGTTAATGAAAATTAAAAGGACATGGGAGGCGTGATAGTAATATTTCTGAGGAATACAGGTGAAAGGATGCTATTTTATCAGAAGAAGAAATGAAAATAATTATAATCAAGGGCATTGACCTAATGGAAATGTCAAAATAAATTTTGTACAGACAACTTTCTTATGTCTGTAATCGTCCTTTAAGAATTCTGTTGGATTTGCCTATTTCCCCAGTTTAGGAAAAGAGTTCTGTCATTTCATGTGCGTTTCGAATTATGAATCAATTACTGTAACAAGGACTGCATATACATTTATAAGTATTCAGTATTAAAAGTGCCCAAACATTGCACTCTTAAATTTCAGGTTTTGTGGCAACCATTTATCAGTTTCTAGAAAAGCAATACAGAATCCTTTATTTCTTAGTGTTGTAATATTTTTGTAAATATAAGTAACAAAATTATCCAACAATTAATACTTGTCTTCTATTTATATTTTGAAGAACTGTACTATTATAACCTCTTTTCAGTTACTGAAAGTCATAGTATGTGTTCCTTTCATGTAAAGTAATAAATACAAGAACATTGCATATTACAATTAATTGAGATGGCTAAGTTACACTAGTTCATCACTATTTTGCTACTCACCTATTTTAATTTGACTGGGATTTAAATTAATGATGTAGCAATTGATAGCTTTTATAAATAACACTGAAATAACAAAGTTATCAATGAATACTTACTATAAAACCATTGGTTGCAGTAACTAATAAATAAGTTCAATTTAAAGCATTCTAAAAGTCCAACAAACAAGCCAGTTTCACTAGAATGGCCATTTCTCACATACTTATATATCATGCCTTTTCTTTAAGGAACCCAAAACACCACCACACATTATCCCCTTCCTCTCCATTTTATCTTTACAACAACCCTGTGTAGTACATTAGGCTGAGACCAGGTGACTGTTTCAAAGTCACCCAGTGATCTCCATGGCTGAGAGGCAACTAGAACCTGGTTCCCCAAAGTCTTGCTCCTAGCACCACTTCACACTGGTTCTAATCTATGCAATAATTCTTTGATAGTACTTCATAAATGAAATGTCCTGCATTTTGTGTGACTATTCTTCTGTGGTGTGTCTCTTTGAATCTATTCCAGTTTGAAGTAACTGTTCTTGTGTCTGGTCACTTTCAGATGATTTCACACAGATGCGAAAGGACTGTTCCTGTGTTTCTGCTTTGCACAGGCTAAGAACCTGATCTAGCTTCAGGTGTGAGAGGTCCTGCATGAAGAGCCCTCTGATGAGCCCCTTCCATTTGTAGCCCTGGTGGGCTTCCATGATTGTGGTACCAAGCAGTAGTGAGCAGCAATCCATGTTGATCTGGGGATTCATCAATTCCTTTATCCACTCCATGCTATAAAGCAGATGCTCAGCATGCATATATTCTCAAATTCAGTCCTATGCATCTCCAGAGCATTTTTTCCCCAATCTGGTGCCCAGCTGATGTGGACTACAAGTCCAATGGTAGCAGGGAGGATTACTGGACCTGTAGTCTAACACAAGTCTAACGACGGGCATTCCAAGTTCGGGTAGGCAGGTTTAGGCAATGCCAAGACAGGTACACTTACCTCAAAACTTAAGCCAGTTATTGAATCAGGGCATTATATTTTTTGGTTTTCCTACGTGTGCATGCTCAGCCAGAAAAATAGTCGAAAACTATCATGTTGGCCGGTGAATGGTGGAAAATGTAGGACTTTTTTTCTGGCTAAGCATGCTCAGGCTCCATAAGCATGCTTAGCCAGAAAGCTCAGGTATTTAATGTGCTATGAGCCCTTAAACCGGACTTTGTTCATAGTAACTCCCATGGCTGATAGCAGGAAGTTTGGAAACGCTGCGAAGGGACGGCACCATCCTCCGCTCTCTAGGAAGGAAAGAGCAGCAGCGGGGAAGGGGGAGACAGTCGAACTTGCCGAGCTCCGCCAACCACGTCCGCCTTGGTCCAGTCCCGGCGGCTTTCCCAGGCGTCCCCTGCTCGACCCTCCCGCCTCCAGGTATTTTCAAAACTAGCCTCCTCTTCCAAGTCCCCCTCCCCGCACAGTCACGTGTCCGCAAAGCCGCAAAGTAGTCCCGCTTTTGCGACAGGGTGACCGCCAAAGGGTGCGACAAGGAGCGGAGGAGGAGGAGGCGGGGGAGGAGGTGTCCGAGCCGAGAAGGCGGCGGCAGGGGAGGAGGAACCCGCGCAGGGCGGCGGGCTGGGTGGGAAAAAGCGGGAGGCAGGCGCGCACACGGGCGGTAGGCGGAGGCGAATGCGAAAGCCGTCCATCCCGACGTGAAGCCGCCCTCCCTCATGTGAATGCGAGACGAGGGGGTTAATTCCCCCCTCCCTCGCCGGCTGCCTTTCTCCTCCGCCGCCGCCGCCTCCTCCCCCTCCCCCCCGCCGCCGCCTGAGTGGTGAGCGCGAGAGCCCCCGCTGGGCCAGACCCGCCTTCCCACCGGCGGCGGCGGTGGCGGCGGCGGCGGCGCCCAGGTGCGGAGTCCAAACCCGACAGCAATGGCGTCCAACGCGACGGAGAGGGAGATTTTCCTCACAGACCTGCAACAGGTAAAATAAAAATGGATCGTCGCTTCCTCCCTTCCTCCCCCCCCCCCACGCCGGCCAGGAGAGCCTCTTCCTGCCTTCCTTCCCGCCCCCACCCTTCCTTCCCATCCCTTCCAGCCGCTGGCCTCCTGGCTGCGGAGGTGGAGCCGCCCCCCTCCAGGCCCCCTTTCTCGCCTGGCTGGCGCACTCGCTGCCCTCGCGTTTAATCTCCTTTGCTGGAGCCGCTTCTCCCTCTGGATTAAGCTGCCTGAGGTGGGTGGACCCGCTGGAGTTTCCCTCTCCGCCTTCCTTTTCCCGGTTCTTTAACTGAAAGTAAAACTTCATATAAAAGGCACCCCCTAGCCCGTTTCCGAGCTTGAATATGGCTTGAAGGAGTCGTGAAAATCATCCGTGGAATTAACTTGGCCCCGCTTTCCCAGAAGAATCGTCCTTCAGTTCTTGCGGTTGCTCAGAGTTCAATTCTTTTCTTATCCCTTTTTTCTCCTTTTAAAATGCCTGTTGCATATAGACGAAGTTGTGTTCACTGCTTGGGGGAAAAAAACAAGAAGTGTCTGGTACCTGAGCAGTGCAGAGGATCTGAGCAAAGCAGTTTCCTTCCATATTTGCTTTTTGCAGCTCATTGTTCAGCCTGATCTTGTGAAGTATTAAACATTGAAATCAGTGGACTTAGCCATGTCTCAGCTTGCATTGTACTTTAGTCACGGAGGATCTCCTGTCCTTCATTCTCCGTAAAGTTAAGGACATGGAAGGCTGGCTTACCCTGAGTCAGACCAAGCTTGTATCACAATGCTGCCTGTCAGTCTTTCTCTGGTCTCAGGCAGGAATTTTTCCAGACCTGCTTGGAGATGCCAGGGACCTTCTGCACTGAAAACATATGCTGTACCACTGCGCTATGGCCTTAAGTGATGGGAGTTAATTTCTGACATCACTGCCCCTACCCTTCTGCCCCAATACAGGGCCTTGAGATACCTAATCCTTAGGTCTAACAACAGAAACCTTTGTACCTGAGTGATACAACCTCTTGAGTCTTGTAAATCAAGAGCATGTATGCATAATTAATTTTTGACATCCCTTAAGAGTGTAGCTAGCATATTTTTCTGTTCAAAGCAAAATGCTGATTGAGGGAGACTGTTTTTCTAAAATGCATGTGGTTGAATTCTTAATAGTATTACAGACTTTCTTCTAACTGTTTTGAACAGTTCTTCAAATTCAGCAGTAGGATACTAGGTACCACAATAAAGATCAACAGTTTAAAAATCTTATGTCCCACATGTAAATGAAAATGAAATCTAGTAAGCAGAAATAGTACCACTATTTATATAAAATAGGGTAACATACTGTACATGTATTCATATTTTTACCATTAACCATCATGTTGGTTGGCTATGAAGTATTTTTCTATTTTAAAATGTGCTATATAATGGGAAAGTGACTAGAGGAAAAAACCTAGACTGAAAATGCAGGTGTAATCATTGCCATTGGCTGAGAAGAATATTTTGTGTAAGCTGTCAACTTATTTAAATCACTGTACAATATTTTTGATATAGCATATTAGTGCTTGCAGTTAAATAGTGTTAATAATACTGCATCTTCTGCTGGGGGGAGTGATTGGCTATTTATTCCATAAAGTAAAGGGTATATTCATGTATTATGATGAGTAGTAACTTTATTTGAAAACAATACCAAGTAGATACATAGTTTTGTCTGCCTTGCTTTGTTTTTGTCCTATGAACTTATGAAACTGTCAACATATTTGGCTTGAAATTTCTGTGCCAATTTTCTTGATAACACTTGGTGTTTCAAAATGAAAGAAATTCACAGAAAGTAGAGAAAGTAGGGAAGTAACGAACAGCCAAACTTGTAAAATAAACCCCTGCCAATGCTCACGGTCATGCAGGCTCCTAAACATTTGGCAGTGGGTCCTAGAATTTTGAAATAGCTTTCTAGCACTATCCAAGAGAAAAAGAGCAGTATTTCTGTAATTATTTTGGATCTTTAAGTGGGAATGAAAGTGCTCTTAGAAAGTTTAGCACTAATCAGAAAAAGAAGAAAAGTTATACACATTTTCACAAAAGAGAAAGAGTGCAGTAAGGATCAATAATGGCCATGTCAGCAGAGGGCTGATGCAGGAAAATCAGAATTAATTTTGCCTTTGGGCAACTTCCCCTTCATGCACAGCTCAATAGATGGGTCTATCGTTCACTTTAATAGTAAGGTACATAAGCTGTAATGGGACAAAAGTAGTCAGTGATATTACATTGTTCACTTGTTCTGCTAACAACAATTACATAATATTACAGTGTACCCCTATTAGCAGTTTCTGAATGGGTGGTTTCTCCTCCTCCTCCTCCTCTTTGTTTGATTATAGGTGTTTGTTAAATCAAAACATGGTAGTTACCTTTTTCACAGTGGGCATTATTTTAAAAGTATATTCACAATAGTGAAAACTTGTGTTGAATGCATGTATGTCAAGCCACTTAGTGATATAGGATATGTAACATAGCCTCATCTCCTAACTGTAGCTTTGGGGCTAACTAAATATGCATGTTGGTAGAGTTTGCATAAAATGCTAAACTGTGATTTGGTATTACAAGGACAAGTTGCAGAGAGCCACAGATGCATACATTCCTCCTCTGGTGAGGCTGCAAAGAGATCAGAAGCCTCTGCTTCAGTTTTATTAACCATGGATTATCTGGACCCTAAACTGTGGTTAAATTTACATATGGTTAATGGAAACAAGCCAAATTAGTAAACTTTGACTTGTTTCCACTGACCATAATTAGGATTAACCACAATTTGTTGGCTTGGATGCTAAACCATTATCATCATATGACAAGCCCCAGAGTTAATTAAAAGAAATAAAGTGAATATTTATCAACTTCTCATGACAATATTGGAGGAAGAGTGGGTGAGCTTCTGCTTTGCTCATGCTTACAACACCAAGTAAGGTTTAGTGTTATGTGCACTGTGTATTTCCAAGGTTAGTTTGTGGAAGAACTTTTTGAAAACAACCCGTTATAATACTATGGAAAAGTTATACTTTGCACATTTGATAAACAGGTCTTATGGAAAGACTACAGAGAAATGAAATAGAAGCTACTTGGTTTCTAAATGGCCACTGCAAATTATCTGTATCTCAGGGCAATAGAGTTCAGTTGTAAGTATAGTGTTGCCTTCAGTGTAGCTTTAGGAAACTCCCTGATGAATTGGGTTACTATTGTAGCAGTAACTGCCTGAGGGCAAGTTGTTATGTGGATTTTCTATATTACATGCTGATAATTTTAATTCTTGAATGGAGTAAGTTATTCTTCATAGCTCTACCTTATACCATCGCATTTATTGTATCTTAAGGATCTAATCCTATGCAAGTTCAGACAGATCAAATCATATCTTTCACCAGCCAGCGTGACTGAAAGTTGTGGGATTTTTCCTGTTTAAATGCATAGGATTGTACCATAAGTGCCCCAAAAGAAAGGGAAGGGGTTTTCATTAGCACTGACACCAAAACATAGATATTGATAGAAAATTTCTATTTTAAAATATGCAGCTATTAGTAAAATGAAAGAAATAACATGATCTTGGAATTTAATTCAAAAGTCTAAATACGCTTTTCAATTTATAAATTTTACAGGGCATTTGCTGTACATTTTTCTTTTCTATTTTATAAATTGTTTATCGAAATACATTTTTAGATTTAAAAAATAATAAAGGAAAACCACCTGCCACATAATTATGTAGTTGATAGTAGAAGAACAATAACTCTACATTTTCCATGTTTCCTTCCCCTCCTTTTTCCATTCAAGTCAATAATGTGTGTTAAGTTCTAGGTTTTACATACATACATACACACACATTTTATCAGAACAAACAGGTTTGCATATCACATGAACATAACCTAAAAATAAGTAATGATGAGATAGTTGTTCACAGGACAACCCATGGTGCACCAGACAGATGATTGGGCTCACAGTGGTTTTGAGCCATATCTTCACAAAGCTGGTATCCCAGGGGGCAGAATGTCCAAGCCACACAGTGCCACAAGCATGCACACCTTTATTTACTACATTTTTATACCACCCAATAGTGAAAGCTTTCTAGGTGGTTAACAGCAATTTAAAACATAGAATAAATCTAAGAATTTAAATAGTTAAAACTGCAGTATAAAATAAAAGTGAGAACTAGAGCAAGTCTTAGCAGCAGTGCAAAGAATTAAAATACAATACAGGATTTAAACTAGACTGATACTAGAATTCCTGGGAAAATAAGGAGGTCTTCACCTGGCACATGAAAGAATACAATGTAGGTGCCAGATGAGCCTCCCTCCTGGATAGGCTGCCTGGGTTGGGTATTCAAGGCAATGCACTGTAGAGTTTTCGCTCCTACTTGGATACCCGATTCCAAAAGGATTCTTGCTCTGTACCTTGGTAGTTAATGGAGATTATTGCTTTATAGCTTGGGTGGGGTTCCATAGATTTCACTTTTCTCCTCCATGCTCTTTAACACCTACATGAAACTGCTGGCGGAGGTTAGCCAAAGGTGTGGGCTGAGCTGTCATCAATATTCAGATGAAACCCAGCTTTATCTCTCCACATCAAAGTCAGATGAGGCAGTGGCTGTTTTGAATCAGTGTCTGGGCACAATAAGGCAAATTGTGCCTTATTGGATGAGGGCAAATTGCCTGCGATTCAGCCAGGTGGAAGGACTTCTAGTGGATGGTTTGTCTCCCCAGATGCATGATATCCAGAAGGAGTTGCACCTCCCCTAAAGGATCAGGTTTGTTGTTTGCAGGATGCTTCTAAATCCAGCACTGTCACTAGAAGCACAAGTGGACTCAGTAGCATGGAGCACTTTTTATTAGCTTAGACTGATATATATGGCCTTATCTGGACAAGGATTGCCTAACTCTGGTTATCTGTGCTCTGGTAACCTCTTGCTTGGATTACTGCAATGCATAATATGGGGAGCTGCCTTTGAAAATAGTCCAGAAAATTTAGCTAACCAAA